TACTTTGAGGTCTATAGAGGAAAGTGCTGTATGAAATCTCCATAATAATTTTATAAACAGCCATTAATAACATTACATATGATCAATCGGCAAAGACAGAGAGGAAAGCAGGTTGTTTATAGCCAAACCAGATCATCAGATGGGAGAAAACAGAGGAGTATGCTTGCCAAAGAATTAATACAATTCCTAGAAACTCCCTGATTTTTTTCAGTAGGTTTTGGTAGTCAGGGCAAGCAACAACTAATAATATCTTTAAGATCTGTCAAACATTCTTGCTCTAATGATTTGTTTGTCAGAGGCTAGCAGGTTTTTATGAATGAGAGACCTATAGAGAGACATATACTTGTGAATCCTTTGCTATGCAGCATCTCTGGCCTTTCGTATCTGTTGATGATGATTTAGCATAACACATTTGTCATAATAAAGATGCTAATCTGTTGCTTTCTGCGTTTTTGCATGGTCTGTGATTAATAAATTCTGTAGCTCTCTGTTTAGATAATTTTAGTTCATCTAGATGGTCTTATCATGCTTCAGCTTCTTAAATGTGTTTGCCTTGCACCAGTTACTAACACAGGTGGTGATTCGGCTCAGGAATAGAGATTGATTATTCATGAAGAATAGGCTTCCTTGCTGCAGTTCTGAAGCTGGGATCACTGATACGTTGTAAGAATCATTGGTCACTCCTTATTTGTCCTGTTGGAAACTACTTAGACATTTTAATCCATTTTCAAAAGCTGCTAAGGTTTTAACTTCAGCTGGAGTCATGTAAAGGAAGGAAGGTAACCAGAACTAACTGACAGGTACCTGTCTCTAGGTGGAAGGTGAACTGTAGAAATGGCCAATAAATAATTAATTTTTTTTTAATATAGGCTTTTATTTATACCAGGCTCTTAACATTGCAGCAAAAGGCACCTGTGAATGCTTAGCTCTAATTAGTGGTAGAATAAGGTCTGCAATGAAGTACCACTTGATTATACTTTAGATGTGTCAGGTCTATTTTATAACATTAACCCAAATTAAATGTATTTAATGGGCCATATGGTACTCTTCATTTTCTCAAATTTGTTACAGAAACCTGTAACACGATGTTGAAAACCAAAATGAACTCCAGAGAAATAAAATTATTCAATTACGAATAACGTGTGCATCCCTGCACTGACATGAACCACTCCTTGATTACTGTCTAACCACATGGCTTGATTTCCTTCCAGCCTAAAGGGAGGGCTTGATTGACACAGTGGAGACCAGCCTGAGCAACTGGGCGATCTAAATAGTGCTATTAGAGGTGTTTTACTGTAAGACTAACCAGCTGAAGAAATGTCGTTTGCCTACTCTGCTACAGGGCGGGGAGTTCTTACAGAGCGTATTGCTGATAATTTATTCTAGATGCAATTTAAAGGATTTTTATTATTATTATTTTTTGACTACATAAAAGCTAACATTTAAAGGATCATTAAGTAGGACCTGACTGCACTTGGAGAAATAATGCATAGCAATTAAACTTTGTTTCCAAACTGGGAACTCACCGATTGGTTTTTTGCATATATGAAAGGAAAGAATCTGTGGATTAGCAGAATTAAAATTAATCAAATTGTTAAGTCATAAAGACGGTTTTTTTGGTAGATGACACCATTTTAGATTTAAAATGCAAAAATAGCAGATTAGTTGGTGGGGGAAAATAAAAAGGAAAGGGAAAGCAGAATGCCAAAGTGATACACCATTGTTATTACACGATGATTGACAATTTTTTTAGCATTGGAGGACTTTAAAATGCTTTTAAATCCTGTGTTTCTGGACATTGGCATTGGTATAACCTTCTCCCTCACCCCTGTCAATTCTGTGGCCTACATCCCTTAGCAGTCTTTTACTTGGGAGTGACCTTCATTTCTTAGCACCACTAATTTTTTTCACGGTCAGTCTTTCATCTCTGTTCTGCATTGATGCCTACTTGGCTTGCAATAAGGATCGGGCATTCTCCTGCCAAGAATGGAAGCTGTCCTGCTTGTCATAAACTGCAGTTCCAATTTTGAGAGAGGATCTTTTCCTTGTTTCCTGACTGCTGCATATTGAAAGAAACTCGAGACAGTGCTTGTACATTTTGGTAGGAAAGTGTTTCACATGATACAAGAACAATATTTCCAGTTCATTAACTAAGTGGACTTCGAAATTAATTTCTGTGTCAGAAACAGTAATGTCTTCAGTGCAGAAAGATGGAACAAAGGTTAAGATGGTTCTTCTAGGTAAGGATGAGAAGGCAAGGAAATGAAAGCAGCAACTACTAGCATAGCCAGTATTTGTGGGCAGTAGTCCTATAAACAGGTATTTGTAGGTATGGCTTGTTATGTGTCTAGCTGCTGGACTTAGTGCTATAAATGCAGTTGATATTAGGCTTAATTGATGTTACTCTTACCTGCAAAACAATAATAATAACTACAAGGCTGAGCTGCCTGGATATTGACAAGCAGATCTGTATAAATAAAGAAACTGCATTCAGTCATATAAACAAAAAGGTTTAATCCCATTTGAGCTTTGATAGACTTCCTCAGATGCTGATCCAGTAAGATACAATTTTCCACTGTGTCTTGCTTTAGGTCCTGTGTGAATGCCTTGCAACATCTCCAATGCCATTAGACACCTGTATTTAGGCAGAGCCTAAAACATCCCACCACCTAATTGCTCCCATCCTATGTCCTGTCTTTCCCATGCCAGACATCACCCTTCTGCATGCTAAGACCACCTCATTTTTGCATCTTACTCCAGGAAATTGTTCCTCAACTTCTTTTCTTACAACTGTAAGACGGGGGTGGACAAAGAGGCTTCCTTTGCTGATTCCCTCAACTTCTTATTTGCTTTGGTTTGTTATTGTATGTGAAGTATGTGGCATGCTGTATGGTGGTCTTTGTTCTTGCATTGACTAAGTTAAAAGTTTTCCTCTTAGTTTAACAACGCTTCATTGATGGGAAAGTTTTATTAATTGTAGGACATTATTATTCTTTATCTTAAAGTCCATTAATTTTGAGAAACATTTCATTTATTTAATGCATGCAAAACACACTACATGAACTTTGCAGTCCTTGCCAAAGACTTGAAGAATGCTGATGTTGTAGAGTTTGCATAACAATACAAATAAATTGGAAGAGAACAGTATCTTGCACATAAAGCATCCTGCCATATCAGTGCAGTGTTAAATATTTATCATTGAATAGTCATTATCAGGGGCTTGTGTGCCAGAACGGTGGAAGCTGAACAAAGTGTTTAACTCTTAAGGTGATAGCACTGTTGAATTGAACATTGATGTCATAAAAATATAAATCCTATACCATGAGTGATGGTGATGTAAAAACCAAAAAGCACCGTATGTCATTGTACACTTAATCAAATCTGTAAACATTTCGTATCTAAAAAATATTTCATTGTTGCTATAGTGAGGAAAAAAGTAACAGATTCTTCTTGAACAGTTAAAATGGAGTGTAGTAAAGTGTTTTCTGAGGGGCAGAATGCTGGCTTTTTAATTCCTTACTACGCCATGAAGAGACAGAATTTTGGCTGCTGTGAATCATACCGCTCCATGGGTATCTTTAAAGGGGCTAGTATATCCTAGAGGTGGAGTGCACAAGCAGAAGTGATCTTTTGTTTCTGTTTGGACTATAACTCTCAGTCTTTGGGGTCAGACCTTGCACAACTGCGAGTGTATGTAAGAATGGCGGGAGCAGAAATGTTTAACAAAAAAAAAAGAGTGTGATATAGCCACCATTCAATAATACTTATGAAAGGGAAGCTATTTCTTGAAAGTATTTTGAAATACTTTTCTGTGAGAATCTGCAGCCCTTATTTATATTGTGTAATATGCAATTGCATTCTTCATAGCACTGAAGTGAAACTGTAAAACAATAATTATGCTAATTTAAAACCAGAAAACTACCAAGATTTGTCTCTTTCTAACTCTTAAAACATTTTTTGGCTAACCTCGGGAACTTTAATATGTGGAATCTGGTGTATTTTAGTATTAAAGGAGAATTATTCTTACACAGTTCTTGTAGCCAGCTAGTAATTTAGTAGGTAGGTCTGAGGAAGTTATGTTATGCTATAAAACTGTGAGCTAAACATAAATAATCTCTGGTACTTCAACCTCCTAACATTCTTAAAAAGAAACCTAAGTAGCTTATTTGCTATAATAGATGTTGAAAGCCTTTGTGCCTACTTTTTAGTAAGTGTTTAATTACCTGATGTGTTTGAAAGCTACACTAGCATGCAGCCCTCAGTCTTGGGCTTGTTTTCCAGTTTTCATCTTATGTTTATTGCAGTTCTGTTGCTAAGACTTCACCAATAAATACTGACATGAAAGAAATACAAGCATGTCACTGACTAGAATTGTTTTAAGCAATTTACCCAGAAAATGTGTGTTTGTATATATTTAGCCTTTTAATTCTATTTTTCTCTTAACCCCTGCTCTGCAATTGCAGCAAATTCTTTCAGTTGCCAGCATTTCATAGACCATAGATATCTTGGATATGATTATCTGGTGCAGGTTTTTGCTGATAGAGAGCATGCTATTAACTGAATAAAGAATTGTTTCCTTGATAGCCATTAAAGATCTCGGAACGTGCTTCCAAAAGGCACCACGATGACCTCTAATCTCCTGCCTAGCATGGGACGTTTCATATGTCTACCAAAGGCTTCTTCTCTTGCCCCTGTTGCCATTTCAGTTAGACGTGACTTTCATTGTCCTTTGAAAGATTCAGCCACGTTGCAGCTCACTCTTAGTTCTCTGCTGCGTCCTATCCCAAAGTCTGCAGCATATACGAACAGAGGGTGAAAAGTTTGTAGACTCACTCACTACTAAGCGTGGATCAGCTGATACCTGTTTGCACCAGTGTAAGTTCCAGCCAGTTCTTAAAATGCTTCTACCCAAAGAACACTGTGTAAAGAGATAGATACAAGTCGTTAAGTGTCTGGTTGCAAATAAGTAAGTAGAATTTTGATTTGTTTTTGTTTTTCAGAGCCAGAGCTTCAACTGTGTGGAAAAGACTAGATGTCCAAGATCCAATGTCAGTTCTGTGCAGATACAGGGAGACTCAGATTATTTCATCAACCATCTTGGAGTACCTGCCACGCAGTTTTCTTATGAGGACATCAAAACATCAGAGGTAGTTACAAATGAAAATGGCAAACTGAAAATGTCAGGAAGAGGGAATTAGATTTTCTCAAGTTATGTCCTTACATGACAAGCGTGTTGTAGTGGAAAGTTACCTTGTGTAAGTGCATTTTTTTTAGATCTTCAGAGAATTACCACAGAGCTTCAAAGTGAGAGATTTTATAGGGGTATGGCATTCAAACAAACAGATAAATGCTTAGAACAAATTAAAAGCAAAAAAATATTTTAAGGGTTTGTGTTAAAAATGTTAGTATTGCTGATAGGTTTATACATTACATGTTGTCTAACCAAACTTTTCAAACTGCTTTCAGCATAGAGGAAATGAGCTTTGATGTGTATTTTTTTCCTGCACAGTAGGATGAGACAGCTTTCAAAATGAATTTTATATCCATTTTTATACTGTGGGCAAAATATGGATGTCTAGTATATGTGTTGGCTGTAAAGATCTGTATGCTTCAAAACACCCTGTTCTTTTTCAGTCCATTGTCATCTTCAAGGTAGGTGGAAGGAAGAGTGTTACGCTGTTTGGAGACCACGTTGGAATTGAACACAGATAAACTGTTAGGAAAGTTTGTCCTTCCTCATTCTTCACTACAGTAGGTTATAATTGCACCTGGAGAGCTCAAACTTACCCTCAGTTGGTCAGCTGAGGATCAGGGAGCTGGCATTAGATAAGTCAAGAAACAGTGCCCGTGGGAAAAGGGTTTTTTATAAATACAGTTTTCTCGTAAATATGACAATGCATTGACTTCATATTCCCCTCATTTCTCTTCTTGCACTGTGCTTATCTACATATGCGCACATCTTTCCAAGTTCAAGAACAAAGCTGAAGCTGAGATGAACTGGAATGCATCCTGGCACTGCATTCTAATATGCTTGTTTTTCACAAATACAAAACAAACCAGAAATAGATCAAATATTTCAGCATTGTTGTCATGTTGTTGTGTAAAATAAAATAGATTAAGTCAAGAATTTATATAAATAAGGAGTCTTCTGTTTCTAAACACCACTGCACCTATTAGGCAAAGTATTGTATTTCAGATTAAACACAAGGCAAAGGCTGTAATGAAAATGTGAAGGCAGAAGACCTATGAGTGCAGTGTTTATGATAGGCTTGTGGTCCAGTGCAAGTTTCTGTTGTTATTTTGCAGCTGTTCCACATAGTTTTCATTCCAGATCTGTGTACATAGGATCTATAGAGTATGAAAAAGGATCTGCAAACTTCAGTATATCAAAATTGTGTTTCCCAGCAACATTTAAAATATGAACACTGAAGATTTCCTTGGCTATGGTCTGTTTCAGTCCTACCAAAGTTATTCTTCGTGTTCAGTTAACTTTGCAGACGTGAATTTCTTGTCTCAAAATGAATCAGCGTTGTAATTAAAATCATAAAAGAAAATATTTTCATACTTCCTTAAATATGACACAGAAAATTTGATTCTGTGTTGAAAACTCAGCTTTTGTCCTTCTTGAAAAATAATTTCCTAGAAATAAACTTGTGATAAGTGTAATCTGCAGTCTTGAAGCTGATGTACTGCGCTTCTCAGACTGTAGGATATCTTGACCCCATGAGATCTATTTCATGTGAGAAATCAATCTGCTTAGAAAAATGTGTAAATTTCTGTTGGAAAGAGGATGGATTTTTCCCTAAAAGTGAAGTTACACAGAATAATTAAATTTGGGTTCTTTACTATATTTTTGTTATTTGTTGTACTGATTATTAACAGTCCTTCAAAACATAGGCTCGTTGTCTGTCCTATATTTTATCAGTCAAGCAATCTGTTTATTGTTTACTGTTTATTGCAGTTGTTTATTGAGGGTTCTGTTTATTGTATCAAGCAGGAATAGTACTATTATAAGGCAGACAGAAATTATTCTGGGTTTACAGCTGTATTAATAAACATTGTAGTAATCTCTCTTGTGCAGGGTGGTGACTGAAAAAAATCCGTGGAGTTGCAGGGAGGGATTTTTGCTTGTTTGTTTCCAAGCCATTCAGCTTTTTAAACTATGCCTCAGCTTTGTCAGGTTCATTGCAAAATAAGATTTGGATTTGGGAAAACAGATTTCAGAAATGGGATGTTTTGACATTCTTCTGTAGACTATCATTTTGCCAGGTTGGTTTCCTCTGCTGCCTCTTTCACTGCTGTGACTTACTCATGAAAATTCTCTTCTTTTGGAATGTACATTAGTTGTTTATTTTATCCACCTGTCAGCATGCAGTGTCAGGTAAAACCAATGCTATTCAACACTCAAAAAAAACCCCTGTGCCTTGTACTCTGCCTACAGAGCTACAGTTATAGGTCAGCTTTAGAAATGCGTTTCTTACACAGTCAGTGTAATGCCAGTCTTCAGAGAGAAGGTTGTAAAAGCTTTTCATTGGCAGGAACCTGAGGAGTAAATAAGAGGAAATAAAAGTTGTAAGAGGAAACATTCAGACTAGAAGAGTAAGTAAAACTGTCTTGCTTGAAATTACCTAATACAGCAAACCACAGCCTCAGGGAGGTTAAATCTGCATGGCAAATGCCTGTGGTCAGATCTGTGAGCTGGTAAAGTGCATTCTAAGTATTCAGCCACTGGTATAAAAACGCACTGACTGAAATGCAGCTCATTTATTTACTAGCAGAAAATATGAAGAGTTTTAGTCTGCAAGTAAGAAGAAAACTTGGAAGAATTTCTCAAGTGGAAAAAAAATGTACTAACCCAATTTCCAAGGATTCTCTTGCAGTTGCTGAAGAAAGCCTTCCTGTCCTTCTGTCTTCTGGTGCACTGGCTTTACCTCCACATGAGGGACACATTCTGATTTGTAATGTATTAGGAGAAAGACTGATCAGCTTTTCCTAATACTGCAGATTCTCTTGCTTCAAGGAGTTGTGCTATTCAAATTCATGATTAATTTTCATCCGAGTGACCATGTAGAGCCTCCAGACAGAGAAGTAATGTTGATTTCAAATCTGAGTTTCTCTGAAAGCCCTCGATTATAAGTCTATTAGTCCTTACCTCAGTGGAAAAAACTATTAGAAACATCTTCACTTAACTTCACATCAACAAGAAAGAGCAGTATAAAGTAAAAGAGGTCTTAGATCACAGACTTGACTTCGTTACTCTATGTACTGCAGTAGGAGCTAGATATCAATGGGATTACTCAGTTATACAATTGTTGGTACATCAGGAATAACAACCTGGAGCGAGCAATGGTAAGCAATGGTGTAAAAGGTATAATACATAAATGTCCTCCGTAATGATAGAAAATACATGCATATAAGGGACAAAACTATGGGTTTGGATACATCACTGTTCATCCTGATTCTGCTTAGTATCTTAGGGGTAAATTCTTCACCTGTGGTGTTCTTATTTTGTAAACGGCATGACTGCAGCTTAGCTCTTGATTACTCGATTGTAAATCAGGAATAACTCTGTAAACACTGGATATGGTGGTGTACGACCTGAAGAACATGTATTCAGTTTCTATTTGAATTCTTCATTGTTCTTCCTTCTGAATGGATATACATTGGATGTGTGCCTATGTAACAGAAAATACTACTTTATCACTTAATAACTTACCTTGTTTCTCTTACCTTGTTCATCCTTTTTTATCCTTCTCTGTGGCTTTTTAGCATCTTTTTGAATTTTCATGTTAATGGAAATTCTAGTGTTAAATGTTTTATTTCAGTTGTGTGACTGATAACTGCGTTCTTCCATATGAAGTAACGTTTACTGTCGAATTAACTCTGCTCTTGTGTATAACCTCTACAAAATAGAAAAAAAGTGTTAAAAATCATTGAAACTTAACTTTTACAGCAATAAAAGGCTCATTGTTCAAATCTGTGGCTCTATTAACAGAAATGATTTTAGTCACAGTGAACGCTTACTTGAATATGAAAATTCCTGTAACTGGAGACATGAATGGAAAAGATGCATGAATCAAGAATACTCTGGGTTATCCTGTTTAACACAATTTGAGTTGTTTTGTGAAGACAGCACAATTTATTTCATAAAGTGGATACAATTGATGTGATTTTGAGGCAATGGGTGGACTGTATGGAGGTGGAGAACTTGTTGCTCAGATTGCTAGGTTCGTTTCTTTATAACCAAAATCACTTGAAACTAAAATCCTTCAAAACTTTGTTTGACACATGATCTAGCTGACCATGCCGAGGTGTTTCAGCCTTTACATATGCTGAGTTCCCACAGTTCTGAGTAATATCAATTAAATTTCAGGGTGTTTAATCCCTCTGAAACACGACTGGAAATTATTTCATGTTCATAGAACCAAAACAAACTTTTTTTTTTACTTCTTAAAAAGAAAACAACCTTGATTTCTCTGTTGCTGTAGAACAAGGTTTAGTGGTGATTCTGTGAGGCATATTTAATCCAAATCTGTAAAGCTCCTTTCATAATCAAAGTTATGTTTCTGAGAAACAGTTTGTACTTCTGGTCAAACCACTGCACTTGAAAAGTTTAGGTTCTTTTCCCAGTTTAGCTTATCTCTTTCCTTACTATTTTTCTCACACATTTATGTAATAAGAAGGATTCTAAAAGAGCAACATATTCGGGGGCTAAGCACGGTATTAGAATGTGTGAAAGTTTCAACTTTGGTACAGTTTTGGAATTTTATCTATGAACTTTTCAAAAAAATCTTTGGAATATAAGTATTATCACAGTGAGCTGATACTGGCGTTGTAGCTTTATTCAGCAGTATAGATTGTCTGTACTACAGAGGCAGAGTAAAATAAATCGCTTGGGGATCTGAGGGGGTTTTTGCCTCATTACTTTTAAGCCGCAATAGCAGCATCACCTGTTATGGAAAAGATATCACTTAAAATGTAAGCTGTTTACACAGCTGTTGGTTATAGAGATCGTGATTTCAGGCAGTATATATTGAGAAGGGCTAAATGTGCTGGGATATATTTCGATAAGTGCTGCTTCCGTGTGCTTACGGTACAAGTTGTTTAAGGCTGGTGTGCTCAAATAGGGTATAAATTGTGGAGGAGG